TTATTTCCCATTATATCCCATTATAATATCCCTAACTATTTTTCAATTAGATATAAATATTACTTAAAGCCCAATGAAACTGTTGACGAAATCATGTTTTTTGTTTTTTTTACTGGTTCAAAAAACCACAACTAGATTCCCACTATATCCCCGGTATATCACCACTATGGTACTTTATCTTTTCAGTCTATCTCCATCAGCAGGACCTCATCAGTTTCCCTGGCCGCTTGTCACCGGCCTTGGCTGACATCCTTCGGCGGCCTTGGGCGAAGTTTTTGGGCAATCTTCCGAGGTGGTTTCATGTGATTCCTATGTACAAAATGGTTTAACCCATGAATCATATTATCTATATATATATATATATAGCCAGAAGATTATCTATAAGATCAGCATCCAGTATTGGATTCTAAAGTCCCCGGGGATGATTTAAGTTCAAAATCAAAAGGCGATCCCGATATTTCATGGAACAACACTCTATTTTCATATATTGCATATATGGTTTAAAATGCCAAAACTTTTGCGGAGTCTCATGGTGTAATAATCAGAGGCCTTGGCAATAAACAATTCCTACATGGACCTTTAGATCGACTCCTATATTGGGATATATGATTCGTGGGAACAGGTAAATATAGGAAAAGGAAAAATGGATATGATAATTATAATGGACATATGATAGGAAAAATGTGATAAGTTCTGAATAAATAATGGTTCTATAGACAAACCTTGGAAGAACACATGCAGACAGAATATGAATGGATGTTGACCCAAATCAAGAAAATCAAATATAACCAACAGGTTTAGTATAGGAACGTAACCAACAAAATGTTCGATATGATGGGATATGAACCATGATTGATAAATTGCCATGGTCAGGCAACCAAAATTTTGCCTATAACCTACGAGAAAAATGTTAAATCCAATACGATGAAAGGAATTATAAAAAGGATATGACCCGATTAGCCTTAGTTGATTTAAGTCCGACCCCTTTCTTGCATAAACAAATCGCAGTGTGGTTTCGGGGGCCGTGTTCGTTTGCAATTAATTAATGAGAGGTTAAAGGGCTTATTGAAAACATGGGCAGCTTTGCATGTACGGGGCGAACACAGTAACGTACATAAAGATTACAGTATATATATATATATATATCACAATATTTCCTCGTGCAATTTGCCATTCATCGATGATACTCTCATCAACTGTTCTGTGCGAGTTCCAAGCGGGCCGTCTCCTTCTATGTGCTATCAAAGGTCTGCTGTCCACTTCCAACGGACACCTGCCGAACATGACTTGCTTCGCCGGCGAGCTTGCAGAACGATATGTGCAAGATGTCAGAAAAAATGTCAAGGTGAACATCAGTTTGCATCGCCCAAAAGTAACAAAAACAACCTCCCAAAACCACCAAAACACCAACAATTCCTGAGTCGTGAGGGTACTCGCAAATCATCTTATTTTTTTTCTAGATCAATTTATTGAAACCCATGGTGACTTGGGGATCCCCCATTTGAACCTTTTCACTCACCACCTCCGCGACTTCTCGGCATCTCACCTCGACGGGTTCAAAGCCAGGCATCTGAGAGAAGTCAGCCACCTCGACTTGACGATCTGCGCACTGAGAGAACCGAAGATATCTATGATTCATAGGGCCCCACAAGATAGCTAAGTTGGTTTATAAGTGGTTGATTTCTATGGTTTGTGGTAGATATAACGAACTAGTGAATGGGGATTATCATGGATATAAACATCTGCTGAAGATATGAATTAAACACTATAATTAATGATGGTATATAACTAATGATTCATGATAAATCAGCAAATATTCTGATATCATAAACATACTCTCAGAATATGTATGATTCAGCATACGTATCATAAACAAAAAACTCCTATGAGTATCTCGGAATATCATAACATAATCAGAGTAACATACTGAGTAGCATTACACATCTATGAGTATCTCAGAATATGTTATCAACTAAAAACTGCTGCGGTAACCTTGCAAGTGTATATATTATTGTTTATCAAATAATATCAAATTCATGACATGATCTGCGGATAAATTGGTAATTCATTTTGGAATTCACAATCAATATATATATATATTTATTTATTTATTTATGTGTTCATAAAAAAAATAAAGATATACTCGGATTCAATAATCACATCTATATAAATAATTTGTGAATAAGATATATTAAGAGAAGAGATCTAATATCCATAATATATTATTTGCTATAAACATAAACATATTCATTCCCTCTGGTATACCAACATATGGAACATCACCATGTTTTTCATGGGTAAATCAACTATGTCTATGGCAATTTTCAATAGCTAACTGTTGGTTTACCAGAGGATAATATTAATTGTAGCCTATAGCTATTGATTATTGAAAAATATCCACCAGCAATATATATCCTGGTTAATTGATGAAAATATTGACACTATTATAGCTATAGGGTAATATTAATTTTCCATATCCTGGTTCACCTTGGAATCTCCTGAGATCTCTAAGCTTCGCACCCAGCTCTCCACCGGTGCCGAACCTGCCGAAGGAAGCGGCCCAGTCTGGTCCGGAAGGTCTTCAGCCTGGGCGCGGCGGTGGATCTTGGGAAGTTGAAAACCTGGGCATGTTTGAGGTATTGCATGAATACATATGTGGATATAATTCATGTGGATAGCATCCTGGAAAAGTATGGGCCAGTATGTTTTTTGGAACTAGACAGAGTACCATGATAAACTATATAGTGACCAAAGAAGCAGGAGGTTGGCAATGGTCTGTTGAACCATTTTCTGGTTTCCAGAAGTTGTATTTTTTTCGAAAGCTGGTTCAGAAGATATACCCTCCGGTAATCAAACATCGCAATGGCTTTGCCACAAGCCAGAGGGTTTAATCCCCAATTTCGGTTGTGGGATGGGCATCCGTACAGCATCCGGAAACTCTGCCAAAAATCCCTCGGTAATTCCCCGGACTAAGGCCTCCCAAGCAGCATTTGGGTCTGTTATTTGTTTTTTTGGATGCCTTGTTTTCAGACCCCATTTGTGGCACTTGTTCATTCTGAGTCTTCTGGCCCCGGTGGAAAGAAAGGTCTCAACCTGCCGGTGCACCAGGTCAAGCCGGTGGATGTTCCTCGACATTTCAGTGATAGGTTGAAGAAGATACGAAGCTGCCTGGAAAATAACACTGTTTCTGGATATTGCTTTTAAATGATATGAATGTTCCTTCATTTAGCATTTCGAAAACCGCTTCAGAGTTGCCAGCAAATCACTGCTCCAAACATGAAACGGATAGTTGGGCATCTGAAGAATCACCTCAAAACATCACCACATCCTCTCTGCATCATTCCACCATAGCTTCCATCAACAATATGAATCATTGACCTATGCCGACATGATCACAAAATCCCATTGGGTGGATCTGTTCACCTGTATACAGTCTTGTTTACATAAGGGACAATATTATTATAACTCATGACCCTGCAGTACATATAGTTGTCATGATTATGATTTTCACCATGATTGTTACGATTGCCACTATTGTAAGGTCTCAGAAAAATCGATTCACGTACGAATATTCAGGACTCTGACATACTCTTACTAATAATCATCTACTAATAATCATCGTTTATTATAATAATCATTGAATAATGATCATCTCTTATATAGTACATTATAATTTATAATACCATTATTGTAAATAAATATATATATATACACAGTATATAATAATCATCTAATACCATTCTTGTTCATTTCCACATGGTGAACTCCCAGATTTCATGGTGGACTCCCCTCCCGCCTGCTTCAGCAGCACTGCAGCAGCGGGACGCTCCGCGGGATGACGTTGCAACAAGGCTTTCAGCCACCTGCACCACATTCGCCACTGGTTTGAAGGCTATGAAGTGGTTCGCCTGATCTTTCCTACACTTTTTTTGACTGCACATATTTTTCTTTAGTAAACATAATCCTGGAAGTTTAAGCATGGTCAAACTCAGAACACCTTGAATCCATTATGATTGGTGGTTTCAAGACCGTAGATGTATAATGCTGTATATAGTCAAGTATGTATCCAAAAAAATCCAAAAATATAATTCAAGGGATCATTCCCCAAACTGGGCTGCAAAAGCAAGAATGATTGAAATCACTAAGCTGCGCAGGTTTTAACCATCAAATCTACAGAAAGGTACCTTGTGCGGGCCCCATTTTACCACGTTTCTGGAAATGCAGGAGTTTTTCTATATCGCATTTGATCATGTGTTGTTCAAAATTATGCACATATATCTTTATTAATTAAGTCATATACTTTTATTGGTTATGGATTTCTGAGGGGATCTCTTGGGATCTCCAGGGATCACCATCTCTGGGTATCCTTGCAAATCTCTGCAAATTTGTAGGAATCTACAGCCTGGAGGGCGGAAGGGGTCACAAAGGGGGGTTGACAAAAAAAAAAACTCGACCCCCTCCAGGCTATGTACTACGGAGCAGTCCGGGGTTGTACGGAGTCTGGGGTTGTACGGAAGCAGTCCGGGGTTGTATGGAAGCAGTCCGGGTTTGTACGGGGCAGTTC